GGGGAGGGAGAGTGGGGGCCAGGGGGCGGGGCGCAGGCGGGGCTGGGGGAGGCCGGGCCGACCCGGGGAAGGGGAGTGGGGGCCGGGGCCCATTTGGGCCTGGTGGGGGGGGGGTCGGAAGCCTGCTATGGGCGACGGAAACGCTGAGGTTTCTGCAACAGGACCCCCGTCCTCCTGCTGTTTTGGTAATAATTCAATTAACCTTCCCATCTCCGGCTGCAAGGTGTGAACGGCGTGGTATTGTTTCCACCTGACAAGTGGAAGCATGGTGATGAAGTTTTTACTCCATGAAGAGGAAGTCAGGGATTAAAAGGAAAACAGGACAACGTCAGTGCGGGTTACCGTGCGGTGGCTCCGCAGGGTCGGCAGGTGGCGGCGCTGTGGTCTGGGAAAGGCAGGGCGTGGTCGTCAAATCTTAGAGACGGAAAGTGGAATGGTGGTTGCCAGGGGCTGGGGAGGGAGAAGAGGGAGATCATGTTATCCTTGTAGAGTTTCAGCTTTACACGATGAAGAGTTCTGGAGATGGGTGTTGGTTATGGCTGCACAACAATGTGAATGTATTTAATACCACTGAACTGTACACTTATAAATGGTTAAGGTGATAAATTTTATGTTATGTATATTTTACTGCAATAAAAAAAGCAAGAACACAAATTACCAATATGAGGAATGAAAAATTCAGTACAGATTATAGGTTTTTGTAAAAGATAATAAACTGGTATTATGAAGCTTTATGTCAAAAAAAGTTTGACAAATTAGATAAATTGGGCAAATTCCTTGAAAAACATAACTTACCAAAACTGAACAAGTATATTTAGAAAATCTGTGTAGTTCCATATCTCTTATAGAAACATTGACCTTCCCCCTAATGGCCTGAAAGAATTTAAGATAGATGCCCTGGCCCCAGGACAGGCCATCACCATAGATAACTCTGGGTGTCAGTAGACTGGGAGCGTCCTTGCTAAGCCCATTCTTATCAAAGTCCTGTCTTGGGATCCCGTTGTCATAGATGGCCCAGCAAACCCTTGTTTAACAACATTTCCTTTTCCATCTCCATGTAAATTGCCTTCCTCCCCTTTGAAGCCCCAAACCACTACCCCCAACATCCTCCTCTGTCTTTAGCTGAAAAGGTGGCAGCTTTGGCCATTCTAACAAGTTACTCAGTTTTTCTGGGTTTTCCCCATGTGTACATATTACTAAACTTTGATTTTCTCCTGTTATTCTGTCTCATGTAATTTAATTCTAAGACCAGCCAGAAGGACCTAGAGGGTGGAGGAATTCTCTTCCTCCCCTACAGAAGAAATAACACCAATATTAACAAAATTTAAAGAAAATAGGGGATGGACGCTTCCCAATTTGTTTTATGAGGCAAACATAACTCTGATACAAACACCTGAGAAATACAAGAAAAGAAAATTACAGACCAAAATCCTTCATAAAAATATGTGCAAAAATCCTTAACAAAATATTAGCAAGTCCAACCCAACAATATGTACAGAGGGTTATACATTATGGCCATGTGGAGTTTATGCCAGTAATGTAAAATTGGTCTAACTCTTAAAAATCAATGTAATTCACCATTTTAACAGAATAAAGGGAAAAAAAATCATATGATCATTTCAGTAAATTTTTTAAAAGGATTTGACAAAATAATACCCAATCGTGATTTTTTTAAATATCAGCAAAAATAGAACATCTGTCTGTAAAAAGGCATCTATCAAAAACTCCATCACTGGGGCCGGCCCAGTGGCACAGTGGTTAAGTTCGAATGCTCTGCTTCAGCAGCCCAGGGCTCACGGGTTCAGATCCCGGGTGCAGACATACACACCACTCATCAAGCTGTGATGTGTTGTGGCAGCTTCCCACATAAAAGTAGAGGAGGACTGGCACAGATGTTAGCTCAATGACAGTCTTCCTCAAGCAAAAAGAGGAAAATTGGCAACAGATGTTAGCCCAGGGCCAATCTTCCTCAACCAAAAAATAAAAATAAAAACTCTATCACTAAAGTCATACTTAATGATGTTATATTGAAAGTTTTTATTAGAAACAAGGCAAATGTATCCACTTTCACCACTTCTATTCAATATTTTGTAGGAAATCCTGGCCAGCACAATAAGGCAAGTAAAGCAACAAGTAAATAAAAAGAATAACTATTAGGAAGAAATAAAATTATGTATATTCACAAAAGATTAGATTGTTCGCATAGAATAGCCTAAGGAACCTACAAAACAACTACTAGAACAAATAAGTGAATTTAGCAAGATTGTGGGATACAAGATCAACATAGAGAAAAAAGTGTGTTTCTATTAGAAGCAAAACATTGAAAATGAACTTTTTTTAAAACCCATTTATAATAGCATTGTAGGGTAAGTAGCTGACCGTTAGCTTTTTTGATTATAAGTGCCTGACGTAAAGCTTTTGATTGCTGAGGTATCCACTTCAATAAATGAATAAACACATTGCCAGCTACACAACTAGCTAAAGAGCCAGGCCACCCTACCCAGGAAGTTCCCTTTTTTAGAAAAGCCCTGGGTGACCTAGATAACTGACTTTTTGACCACTTGTTTTCCCCTTCCTGCACTTTAATCACTGTTCTTATGTTTTAAATTCACCAATAAAAAGTGGACCCACAGGGGCCAGCCCGGTGGCATATCGCTTAAGTGCGTGCACTCCGCTTAGGTGGCCCCGGGTTCACAGGTTCGGATGCTGGGCGCACACCCATGCACCACTTGTCAAGCCATACTGTGGTGGTGTCCCATATAAAATAGAGAGAGGTGGGCATGGATGTTAGCCCAGGGCCAATCTTCCTCACACACACAAAAAAAGAGTGAACCCACAAAACTCTAGGCACCCTCCCTCCACCCCAGTAAAGGCAGAAGCCCAAGCCCTCACTGATGTGTGCGCTCTCTCTCTCTCTCTCTCTCTCTCTCTGCCTGCGACCTCGCTGTGTGGCCCCGGGGCATGCGTGTACCTTCCAGGACTTGTGAATAATAAACCTTGTCTTTTCAAAGTTCCATAATGGTTGTTGCTGAGGTGCGTCTTGCAATCGTAATAAGAACCATGAGGGCCAGTCGAGCCACAACATTGGAAATGTCTGTGGGGGGTCCCCACAAATAGTAGGAGCCCAGGTGAGTGCCCCCAGGCATTTCTAGTGGATAGCATCACTATCAATAGACTGAGACAGACCTGGAACAAGTATCAACATAAAATACTCAGGAATAAGTTTAACAAAAATATGTGCAAGACTTTTACACTAAAACTATTTTTTATTACTGCAATAAACAAAAAATTAAAAAAAAAATGTAAAAATAAAAAAAAAAAAATAAAAAAATAAAAAAAAATTTTTTAAATGCTGAGAGAAATTTTAAAAGATAAATAAATGGCGAGAGATTCCATGTTCACATATTGGAAACAATATATTTAAGAAGTCAATTCTCCACAACTTGATTGATACATACAACAAAATCCCAATCATAATGCCAATAGGATTTTTTTCTAGAAACTGACAAACTGATTCCAAAATTTATAGAGCAATGCAAAGGACCTAGAATGGCAGAACAATCTTAAAAGAGAACAACAATATCATAAGATATATACTCTCTGACTTCAAGAATTATTATAAAGATACAGTAATCAGGACAATGTGATATTGTCAAAATGATAGGCAAAGAGATCAACGGAACAGAAAAGAAAGTCCAGAAGTAGACCCACACTTTTACAGTCATTGATTTCCAACAAAGGTGCCCAAGCAATTTGATGGCAGTGAGGAAAGTCTTTTCAAAAGATGGAATGCAAGAAGTGGATATTTGTTTAGAAACAATGAACCTAGTGCCCACCTTACACCCTACATACAAGCTTATTTGGGATGGATCATAGACATACATATAAAAGCTAAAACTTTAAAGCTAGAGGCAGGGGGTTTCCTTCGATGTAAAAAGTACTAACAATAAAATTAGAAATTGGTAAATTAGAGTGGGGTCAGCAAACATTTTCTGTAAAGGACCAGATAGTAAATATTTTAAGCTTTGCAGGCAGTCTCAATCAGAACTACTCAACTCTGCAGTTGTGTCATGAACACAGCCATGTGAATGAATGGATGCAGCTGTGTTTCAATACAACTTGTATTTAAAAACCCAGTTTGCTGACCACTGTATTAGACTATCAAAACTTAAAACTCTGCTCATCAAAAGACACAATTAAGAAAACAAATAGGTGAGAGCCAGCCCTGATGGCCTAGCAGCTAAAGTTTGGTGCAATCGGCTTCGGCAGCCCAGGTTTCAGTTTCCGGGCGCAGAACTACACCACGCGTCTGTCAGTAGCCGTGCTGTGGCGGCGGCTCACATAGAAGAACCAGAAGAACTTGCAACTACACACCACTATGCACTGGGGCTTTGGGGGGAATGAGGAAGAAAAAAAAAGGAGGAAGATTGGCAACAAATGTTAGCTTAGGGTGAACCTTCCCTTGCAAAAAAAAAGAAAAGAAAACAAATAGGCGAACCATAGACTGGGAAAAAGTATTTGCAAAACATTGCTTATCAAAAGATTTGTATACCAAATATATAAAACTCCTAAAACTCAACAACTAAATTAATAA